GGGTAAGTGCACTGGACTGGTGAAGCTTAGACTGCAGGTGCATCAAATTCCTTGCCTGTGATCCACCTTCACAAAATGAAATGTCCCCTAATATTGGTGGTTATCTTTCATATAGTATTACTTGTTATTTTTAATAATAGATCTTTTAATTTTTTGCTTTTGGAATCATTGATGTCCTACAACGTTTTTGAAATGACAGGCCACTTAATCATAGGACATAAAATTAATCCCTGTTTGCCGTATAAACAGGATTCAAAATCCCTTCCAGAAATCGATTAATGGTTAATATGCGCCTTTCCTCCTACTGAATGCATGTTTTGATTAAACTCAGGACAGGTACCTTTTGGCAGCACATCCGTTTTCTTATTGTGCGTTTTTTTGAACACCTTAAATGCAAATTTCAGACTCTTTTATGCTCATATATATGGAGATTGCTTTTCAAGCACGAGTAATATCATCGGTGCCACTTTCATTGTGCAAGTTATAATTCGTAATGTTTTCATGTGTTTAGTGCCTTTGTTAATCGTTGTAACATCATGTCTCGTAATTTATTAAGTGGAAATAAATGTTATTTTAGTAAATGAAGCATTATCATTCAACATGATTACCAAATATTAACACCGTTGATAAGAAATTTTTATGAACAGAACCAGGATTTATCTACGAATCAGGTAAATTTTGGAATGTGAAGACTTCTAATTTCTACCCTGTCATTTAGCTGTGTGAAACAAAATTGTTTTTTAAATATAATGGGTTCTTTTGTACAGCATCCTTAGTCATTCTTAATTACAACTTTTTTGTTTTGTCTTTCCCTGCTTTAAAATTTTGCAAAGTGCATAGTTGTGCTTATAGGCAACATGGACATGTGATTACAGTCTGATAAAACTAAATTTTGTAATGTGTTAGTCGTTTTGTCATATATAGCCTAACTTAGATCGGTTTATGTAAAGCGAGTGCTTTAACACCGATGGTTTGAGACACGACATCTTCGCCAGCACATATAAATTGGTCCATAAATGCAATAAGCATCAGCACAACCACATGTTTAACGTACGCTACTACGTTAATCTCAAAAATCCATGCAGATTGCAGGCCTCTGTGCTTAAGACCTTTTTTACTAAACTTTGGACAGGGTAGATGATAACTTTCAATTTAGATTGCTCTTCTATAATCTGTCAAGTGGTGCTATCCCCTTTCTAAGCCATTTTATCAAGGTCAACTTCAAGGTATTGTCGAGACTTTTAATAAGTTTGTTTAACTAAGGGTAAATTTGTGTTGAATTAATATACGTGATGTCGTTTTTGCCATTAATCTAACAGGAACCGGTTTTCACAGTCTAAGATGAGGATTTTCACAACTCCAAATCCTCAGCTTATCAAAATGCAGCAAGAAGTGTTTACAATAATAAAATGAAATCATTTTTAATGAAAATTTTAAGGATTGATTTTACTGAACTGCGTCTTATTTTAATGTGCGGAAACATTTTATTAGATCTCACAAACACGATCTATTGACATAACTATGATGATTCGTTTATTTAAAGTTTAAAACCTTTAGCCAAAATACCAATGAACGCTTCCTATAATGTTTGAACCTGTTGTTTTTGTGGCGGTAGAGATGTAAGTGCGAAGCTGGAAGTTGCTGTTTTCGCGTCATGGATGTGCAGGTGCTCTCATCGCTATTATTCAATGACTGTACCTCATTTGTAGTCCGAAATGTTCAAAATTGCAGTGCGGTCATTGATGCACTTGAGTTCCTTTACTTTCTACTTGACCAAGAAAAGGATCACAGTGGCTTTGGTCACGATTTTTGTGATGTTTATTCGAAATTTCACGAAGGAATTGAGATGCTAACAAGCTGTCATATCAAGCCAATATTTTTAGTTGGTGGCGTGTTTCCTGCATATGTAAGTCCGTTGGTGAAGTTTCTTATATTTAACAGGGTAAGTACTTCGAAAAGATGTTGCTGACAAATGCTTCCAATATCCTACCGTGCGACACCCACCACCCTGTCTTAAAGTCTGGTGAACCGCAGAAATTCCATTTGTTTGCTAATGACAGGTGGCTCATTTGTGAAATACTTGCTTCATTAGATGTGGATTTCGTGATGTGCGAATATGATACCTTTTCGACTTGCGTAGCCTTGTCGTGTTTGCTGGGATATCCCATCATCAGCTCTAACGCAATGTTCTTTCTTTTTTCTCGTCCTCGTGTGGTACCAAGTGCTATTTCAGGAGTTTCACTCAACGAACCTCTGTTCATTCCTTTGTCGGGTATAACCTTTGGATGCAATTCCCCAACAATGTTAATGGATACTTCAGAACCTAAATCGTACCTTTGTGCTCATATTTACAACCCAGACTCATCACCCATCGGAATTGTACCAACTGAATCTAGGCCTTTAATTGGACTGATACTAGACTCCCTTATTTTCACATCATTTCCTTTGAAGTCAAGCGAACAAAAATTCGACGCGACTCTTTTCGCAAAATTGCGACACGCTATACAGTGGGTATCGGGAACGAAATCGCTTCATGTTCTTCAGACACTAATGCAAGTTGCTACAATGTCTGATGATGCTTGCATGATGTCCAACTCAATGCTTGACAGTTTACAACGTTTCGTTCCTGATTTTGCCGAAGCTTCCAGAGTGCTGTCCTTCTTGAATATCCCGACAGAACTACAAATCCTGACGCCTTCAGCAGAAGTTAATGCACAAGGAATTGGAGCACCTTCCACATTTTTTCAGCGTGCTCTGGATATTCTAAGCGGCAGTCCACTGCGTCCCAATAGGACAAATTTCTTGCATACTTGGCCTCCTCCGCTCGTTGCTCTGTACCGCCATGGCAAAATTCATCCTGACATTTGCACTGCGTTGTACAGTAAAAAAGGGCTAATATTTCCCTTGTCAGCGCCCTGTTTGATTCAATTTCCATCACCTAGCGAACCCGCACGAATATTGCGTTTTTTACAGTATTGTCTTATCATTGGCGCCGTTAGTTCTTATTACTCAGGATCTTCACGCTTTATTGGTTTGCGGCCACATGTTAGGGAAATCTCCTACAATGGATCTTCTCGCTTCAAATCCATCTACATTCACGTTTTAAAGATGTCGATGAAACCAAATGACAGCCCATGGTCTTTTGTATCCACCTTCTTCAATTTTCCATGCAACCAAAACTTTGACGATAGTGTAAATGCCCTGGCTCTAACTTGCCTCATCTGGCACTCCCAAGCATCAGGGAACCCTGATCGTTCCGGTTGCAAAATCGAACATTGTCCCATTGTCATATCTGTAGTATTATGTGCGTTAGTAAATCTCTGTAGCAGAGACGTTGACAAACGTGAAGCGCACCTTCAATTCACCTCCGTAGAACCACTCGTTATGGATGAATTGGAAAAAGTCGGCGCCGCTTATGGTTCTGAGGCAATCGAGGAGGAGCAGAGACTTCTTTATCAAGCCTTGCAACTTGATGCAGTGTACTGTCAACTCGCATCACTTCACAACTTATTAAGCGGACTAAAAGTCGTAGGGAATTCCTTACAACTGACTGATGCCAATAAAAGCTCATTGATGCCCAGTTATGAAATCTTCCCATCTTTAAAGGCGTCAGTTTTGATTGCCCGACATCTTATGTGTCTAACTTCTCAAGCGCGGCTTAGGTCTGCGTCTCGTTTATGGCTGAAGTCGTTTTTTTTGTCTCCACAAGTTCCTCAAGCAGTTGAGCGCCTTTGTAATGTGGCCTCACTCTTCCCACAATTTTTCAATTTTGTCGCTGGTACGACTATCTCTTGGAAAAACCCAGTTATGGAGAGTGTTGAACTTCCCCCTGTTCTCAATCTTCTCGAACGGAAAATTCGAGTTGCTTCCTCACAGCCAGAGTGTGCTGATCCAAGCATTGCTCCTTCGTTGAATGCCAAGTCCCAAGAGTTCTACCAAATGAACAACCTTCCTTCGACCAAGTCGCCTATCCCATCTCCCCTGCAAATACGTGATACTGAAAACATTTGTCAGTTGTCCACAAAGGATTCCGACAAAAACATCCGAGCCTTTCAGTTTGAGGGTCCAGCGCCATCCATTACGCTTGATGAAAACACTAATGTTGAGTCCTTACGAATTCCAAGTGTTGCGAGTTACCCCGATTACCAAAGTAATAGCGCTACTCGTTGCTTCAGTGCTTTAGACGACGACACCTGTTCTGTTGCTTCGTCCTACCGTAGCATTCCGCGACCGCCTCCCCCCGCAAATGCCTTCATGAAGAAATCCAGAGGTGGAAAGCCGAGCCGTTATGCAGCTCGCCTGGCTCAAAGATACGGAAATAAAATATGACAAGTTTTTTTTGCATCACATGTTTATTTTTTATAAAATTTCTGATAGTGAACACTAGAGTTTACAGCTGACTTAGAGATTTCTCTGTTATTTTTTTCAGAATGATTCGGGTAATAATCGTTGTGTGTAAGTGGTTATTGAAGGCCCCAGCTTGTGGCCCAAACCGTCTACGCCGTACAGGTTCCCGAGAAGACAAGACCAAAGATGGCGGAGACACGACCGTTTACTAGACAACCCAACCTAGTGCTTTGATGCGCCACTGGGCAACGAAAATCGTGTCTGACTAAATAGTATTGTTGATCAATACAGTCTGGTTGACCTGTAGACGTACAAAAAAAACTGAATGACCAAGTAGGTTAAACGGGTAGCATGGGCGCGGCACACGCACAGGGGTGTGATTTGACGGTTTCGCTTGTTCGGTCGGGACGCCGTGAAAAAGGGGTCGGTTTGGCGGACAATGCGATGATGGGATAAATGGACGTGAGTCAGCGAGTCTCACCATGGGTACATGGATGGAAAAGTTCTCGGTTTTTCTTAAGCCACGACGATTTCGAATAAACATCTTCCAGATGTTTCTAAATTGTGGTCAGCAGTGTTCGGATTCAAACCGCAATCCATTTTAGATCTTAGTGGGATTCGACATTTGCTAAAAGTAGGGTTAATTTCGCATACAAGTACCTCGAGAATGATTACTTCCTGCCAAGCACTGCTGATTCTATTAAAGTAATACGTGTAACAGCTGCTATTATTGTAATCTCGATAGGTGTACAGTGCATGAAAACCAATCTTATGGTCCAGTTTCTACCACTTTGCAAATAAAAACTGGGGAAAATTGTCACCCATAACTTGCAGAATGTTAACAATGTACATGCAAAAATTAGTAAAAGATGTTCTTGACGTTAGAGTGGTACACTTTGGTCAGTGTTTTCTTGTGCTGATAAAGTAAAGTAGTTATGCTTAAGGACACGAAACCAAGTCCACAACAAGTAAGTTGGTTTTAGCCAAGATCTTCCAGAGATATTTGCTAACCGGAAACTGTGGCGGTTGTGTGGCCTCTGTTGGTGTTGTGCAGTGGCGACTTCAGCAGTGCAGCACCGTGACTCCAGATTCTGCGATAGACTTGCCCACGACGAGTGCTTCGCCTTCGCCTTCCTCGAATGTCGGCGTGCGTGAAGAGGCATTCGGCAATGCCACCGTGGTTAGTCTAAGAGAATCAATCTGACGAATTATTTGCCTTCTTTTTCAAACTGTGAACTCCTTCAAGCGTGATTTAAATACACAGCAGAAGTAGTGAATTCACACTATAAACACGCTAGACTGATGAAGAATTTGCGGCTTATGAAGTTGACGCCTTGGTAAACAAAAAAGTTCCAAATGCTCATTTACATAATGAAGTCTTATTGGAATGAAAAAGGTCCAGAAGTAGAGCGCGTCCTTTAGTTTCATAGAACTTAACAAAAGTTTATGAAACTAAAGGATTTAAGCGTTTATTTTACGTAGAAACAAAACATTTTAAGCTTTTAGGTCATTGCCCATTAGTAAGCTCAGAAGTTCGTCCTAACTGCATTTGTAGCTTGTGAAATGCATACTAGATGTTTGGATGTGTGCTGGCAAGATCCAAAAGGCCATCTTGGTTTTATTACAGGAGGAGGTATGCGGAGCCACAACCAGAAAGGAATTTCAGAATTCACCATTCACTTTGTACATTTCAGTGGGTGTGGGACAAATTCCGCAGCTTGGAAAGGTGTTTATTCGACGACCCTCTGCATGGTCAGGATCCAAGTCGTCAAAATTAACTCAAAGCTAGTAATCCATGTGATTTTTAAAGAGAATCGTGCGGATAATGGACAATAACATTATCTAGTAGCTCCAGGAAAACTGCGCACTAGCACAACCAAACAACATTTGTTGGTTATGTAAGGTAGGTGTGATGAAGGCTAAGAGTTCTTGAATGGGAGCAAAAGGGTGCAATTACGACATCAGAGTTTACATAAACCCTGTAATAGGTGCGATTTAAACTCAAATGTATTCATTTTCAAGCTTTTTAGGTGTTCTTTTCTACAAATTGCTCCTCTAGTGCCCTAGAACTATCCAACGAACCCGGCGGCCTCTCCAAACTCTTCTACTTAGAGCTCGAACCATGCCCTGTCAACCTGGGTCGTGACCTCGAGACAGAGTTGCACAACCTTGCCATCCGATATCGCCACAAAAGACAGCCTCTTTTGGACGCCATCGCCGAGAAGACGGCTACTCTCGCACCCTGATTAAGTTCTCTTCAGTTAAAAGATAGAGGAAGGCCATGTTTGGCATTGAGCCCATCACTATTATGTCGTTTGCCAAACAAAATCCACGAAATTGTGCATTCTGTGATTATTTACTTCCCGTAATAATGTCTAACGCAGTGTATTTCAATGATCGTCTATGCGGTGATAACAGAGTGCTATGAGTCTTCCTCAGTGTCACTGTCGTACATGTGGTACCCTGGGACTCCCCAATGCATTTCCTAACTCTGACACAGACGTGTATTGTGCTACTTCGTTCATTTCCTTGTATTGAATGCGTGTTTTGGGCCTAGGGATGTTTGGATTGGATTGAGGGCAGGTAATCCTGCATTTCCACATTTGGCTGTTTTTCGGATGGATATGTAGTGGCTTGTGTGCACTACCTCACAACCTTGCTAGCTAACAGGTTTAAGCAGGCAACAGCGAATACAGCCAAAGTTGAGTCATCAAACCACTAAAGTGCTTTAATGTCACTGTGCGTCAGTGAGTGTCGATCGTCAACTGCAATCGACAAATAATGACATTTGATTAACTCG